TCCCCTTGTCCTCTGCCTCTCTTGCTCTGCAGGGAACAGGGCTGCTCCGTGGGGTATGCTGGGAGCAGGACTGGGAACCCGGGGCCTGTGGAGTCTAGGGCCTGGGGCGGGTAGGCTGGCCGGAGGGGAGGGGACGGGAGGCAGAGCCCAGGTATTGCTGGGTGGGCAGGTAGAGTGACTACCTGGCTAAGCCTTCTGCCCAGTGCTTCCCACACCACAGTCAGCCCTTGCCTGCCTGTCTAGGGGCCTGTCCCTGAAATGTCATTGATTCCTAGCTTCGTCTGGGGACTGTCCACTGCTTGGGGCTCCGAGGGAGAGGGCATGGGGACAAGACAATCTCTGAGCAAGTTGTCAAAATATAGGGTTTCAGGGACCAGCAGTTGGCGTAATGGCTATGTTGCTGGATTCCCATGTAGTTGACCACAGTTCGAGTCCTGGGCCCGGTGGCTTAAACTCACGCCGGGCATGTGTGAGTGTGCCCAAGATCCCAAGAGGAGAATGGAGGAGAAGGGATGTCGGCGTGGCCATCCCCCTGGGGGGTGATTTCTCGCTTTCTGTCTCTGTCTGTCTCTGTCTTTCTGGAGAGCGCACGCGTCCTATAGCAAAAACCTCTCAAAAAAATATATATATATCTATGGCTTCAGAGGGAGGCCTGCTTCGCCAGGAGAAGGGGGTCGGTGTCCCTGGTGAAGGAACGTCTGAAGTGGGAGTTGAGGAGGGTAGCAGATGTGCTTACGGCTGCAGGATGAAGGCAGTTGTATGGCTTAGGAGCTTCTACCTGGCCCAGGGGTCATGGGGAGCCACTGAGGACTATGGAGCAGAACAGCAATGACACTTAAGTGCCCTTAAAAGCTTTTCTGTAGCTGCGTCTGCGGGAGCAGAAATCACTCAGAGGCCAGAGTCCCAGGGAGCACCTACTGCATGTTTCAGTGGCTGTGGGTGGGGCCCGCAGTGTGACCGTCCCAGCTTCCGTACCTTAGGGTCTATGGAGGGAGGGGGTCCTGCAGGGAATCAGAGCTCCTCAGGGTGACCTGTCCCTGCAGCTTGAGGCCTCTGCATGTGAGTGCATGAAGCTGGCAGGGGTGAGAGGAGGAGATGGGTGGGGTGGGAGGAGGAGGTGGGAGGGGTGCACATGGAGCCCCAGGCATCAGGCCTTGGCCTTGCACGGTGAGCTCCGCTGCAGAGGGATGGGTCGTGGTGGGGAGGTTGTCCCCAGAGACACTTGGCAAGGGGTGTCGAGGTCTATTTTGCGCCAGCTGGCAGAGCAGCGGCCTCCTCCTCCCACAATGCCTCCACCAGCCTTTGCCACCCAGAAGAGCATGCAGTGGCGAGAAGGTGGAGAAACCGGGGCTGGGCGTTGCAGAGAGGAGGCGCAAGCCATGGGAGGCTCCGAGTTCTCCTACCACTCAGCATGCTGGGCTCTCTGCAGGCGAGCACCTCAGCGATGCCTTTACCCAGGTGAACCCTGTGCAGAAGGTGCCAGCCTTGAAGGACGGGGACTTCACTTTGACCGAGAGGTAACTGGGACCCTCTGTCTACAGCCAGACCGTGCTGACGTCATCCCATACTAAGAGCATTTTACTTTTAAGTTGTATTCATTTCATTTTAGTTTATTTAATTTAAAGAATGATTTATTTAATTAAATTTATTTTAAATTTAAAAATAAATTTATTATTATTATTGTTATTATGTTTTTATTTGCTATAGGGCATGTGTACTCACCAGAGGGCTGGGGAAGAGTGAGAAAACAATCCACCAGGTCCAGATCTGGAACCACAGTCGGCCATGTGGGAGTCCAGCACCTTCATCACCATGCCACCTGCTGGCCCCCATTCACTTATTTAAATTAAAACCCATTTTTATTTTAAAGTTTATTTATTTTCTCCATGAGAGAGAAAAAGAAAGACAGAGTCAACCCCAATAGAGTCTTCATGCTGCAATGCACCCTTACTTTTTAAAATTTTTATGATTTTTTTAAAAATAATTATTTATTTAGTCATTCATTTTATTTTATTTTGACCGAAGAGACACACAGGGAGAGAGAGAGGGGGAAAGCAAGCCACCAGGTCCGAGACTTGAACCCTGGTTGACCATGTGGGAGTGTCCAGCGCCTTAACCACCATGCCACCTGCTGGTCCCCGAAAAATTTTTATGATTTTGTTTTAATGTTTTTGCCATAGGGGTCATGCACTTGCCAGAGAGAGAGAGGCAGTGAAAGAAGTGAGAAATCACTCCCAATGGGGATAGCCACGCCACATTCCCTTCTCCATTCTCCTCCTGGGATTTCTGGCATATGTGCACATGTGCCTGGCATGATTTTCAAGTTGCAGGGTCAGGGACTCGAACTGCAGTCTGTCATGTGAAAGATTTTCAAGCCACTGGTCCAGGACTCGAACTGCAAAGCTGCCCCTGTGGGACCCAGCCACCTGCTGGCTGTGCACTCTTACTCTTAGTCAGCCCAGGTCACCATTGCACGTGCCTGGCATGTCCCGAGAGGTCCTAGGATGTGAGCCCAGAACCTTTCCCATGTAGGTCCAGTTGCAGTACCACCCGGCCCTGTCTGTTTTACAGACAGAAAACGAAAGTCCTCAGAGGCAATGAACCCATTTGACTGACGTCCCACGGAGAGTTAGGGCTGGAACCCAGGTCCCTGCCTGCTATTCCAGTTCATGGAGATGATTGAGCCCTGCACAATTCCGTGTTGTGCTGCTGGACAGAGATACCTGAGACTGGGTGATTTAGAAACAGTGGAGGTTTATTTGCTTCACGGTTCTGGTGGCTGGAAGGTCCAGGAGCATGTACCTTCTAGCTAATACCCTAGCATAGTAGCATAGTACCCTCGCCCCACCTGTGACATGTCACCTATCCGTAACATCCTCTGCCCTGCAGTGTGGCCATTCTGCTCTACCTGACGCGCAAGCGCCACTGGGCCCCCCCGGACCGGCAGGCCTGTGCCCGGGTGGACGAGTACCTGTCATGGCAGCACACAGCCCTGCGGAGAAACTGCCTCCGGGCCCTGTGGCATAAGGTGAGGCAGAGGGATGGGGAGATTGGGGTGGGGGGTGACCATGATGGCGTTTCCTGCTCGTGTTCGGGCACCATCACATTCTTCTCCATCTGAGTCATTTTTGCTGATCTGTCTTTGACTTTACCCATTCTCCTGTTCTGTAGATTCCTGTTAAGCCAATCTAATACATTCCTTTCTTTAAACTTTTATGTATTTATTGCTACGGGGCATGTGAGCTCACTGAAGAAAGACAGGCAGAGAGAGAGAAAGTGAGAAATCACTCTCCGGGGGTGATGGCCATACTGCAGTCCCTTCTCCTACATTCTCCTCTTGGGATTTTGGGCACGCACATGTGCCTGGTGTGTTTCTCAGGCTACCGGGTCCAGACTTCAAATTGCACATTCTCCCATGTGGGATCCAGCTGCCTTAACCAAGATGCCATCTTGGCCCCTCTAATACCTTTATTTGAAATTCTAAGGACCAAGTGTTTTGAATTTTGCATATTTTGCATTTTTTTTATGTATGTATTTTTTTTCTTTTTTTGGAGGGCCAGCAGAAGGCATAGTGGTTAAGGCACTGGACTCCCGCATGCCCAACTGCAGTTCGAATTTTCAAGCCACTGGTCCAGGACTCGAACTGCAAAGCTGCCCCTGTGGGACCCAGCCACCTGCTGGCTGTGCACTCTTACTCTTAGTCAGCCCAGGTCACCATTGCACGTGCCTGGCATGTCCCGAGAGGTCCTAGGATGTGAGCCCAGAACCTTTCCCATGTAGGTCCAGTTGCAGTACCACCCGGCCCTGTCTGTTTTACAGACAGAAAACGAAAGTCCTCAGAGGCAATGAACCCATTTGACTGACGTCCCACGGAGAGTTAGGGCTGGAACCCAGGTCCCTGCCTGCTATTCCAGTTCATGGAGATGATTGAGCCCTGCACAATTCCGTGTTGTGCTGCTGGACAGAGATATCTGAGACTGGGTGATTTAGAAACAGTGGAGGTTTATTTGCTTCACGGTTCTGGTGGCTGGAAGGTCCAGGAGCACGTACCTTCTAGCTAATACCCTAGCATAGCAGCATAGTACCCTCACCCCACCTGTGACATGTCACCTATCCGTTACATCCCCTGCCCTGCAGTGTGGCCATTCTGCTCTACCTGACGCGCAAGTATAAGGTCCCTGACCACTGGTACCCCCGGGACCTGCAGGCCTGTGCCCGGGTGGACGAGTACCTGTCATGGCAGCACACAGCCCTGCGGAGAAACTGCCTCCGGGCCCTGTGGCATAAGGTGAGGCAGAGGGATGGGGAGACTGGGGTGGGGGGTGACCATGATGGCGTTTCCTGCTCGTGTTCGGGCACCATCACATTCTTCTCCATCTGAGTCATTTTTGCTGATCTGTCTTTGACTTTACCCATTCTCCTGTTCTGTAGATTCCTGTTAAGCCAATCTAATACATTCCTTTCTTTAAACTTTTATGTATTTATTGCTACGGGGCATGTGAGCTCACTGAAGAAAGACAGGCAGAGAGAGAGAAAGTGAGAAATCTCCACCACTACCTTGGAGAGGGGATGGCCACACTGCAATCCCTCCAGAAATGAAGGCGAAATGGAGGAGAAGGGATTGTGGCGTGACCATCCCCCCTGGGGAGTGATTTCTCACTTTCTGTCTCTCTGTCTCTCTCTTTCTGGCGAGCGCACGTGCCCTATAGCAAAAAATCTCTCCGAAAAAATTATTTTGTTTAACTTTATTTATTTATTTAAATTTTGATCAGAAAGGGACAGAGAGAGAGAGAGAAAGTGAGAAAGCAAGCCACCAGGGCCGTGACTCAAAATGCAATTGGCCATGTGGGAGTCCAGTGCCCTTAGCGACTATGCCACTTGCCGGCCCCTCCATTTGTTATTATTATTAATTTTTTTTTTTTTAGAGATTTTCACTGTAGGGCGCGTGCGCTCGCCAGACAGACAGAGAGAGACATAGAGACAGAAAGCGAGAAATCACCCCACAGGGGGGATGGTCACGCCGCAATCCCTTCTCCTCCATTCTCCTCTCGGGATCTTGGGCACGCACGCACACGCGCCCGGCGTGAGTTTTAAGCCACCAGGTCCGGGACACGAACTGCGGTTGACTACGTGGGAGTCCAGCGACATAGCCATTACGCTAACTGCTGGTTCCCCATTTGTTATTATTATTAATTTTTAAAAATTTGGTCAAAGAGAGACAGAGAGAGACAGAAAGAGAAAGTAAGAAAGCAAACTGCCAGGTCTAGGACTCGAACCACAGTTGGCCATATGGGAATCCACTGCCTTTAACCACCACGCCACCTGCTGTCCCCCAACAGTAGAGGTCTTTACAGACTAATTACTTGTACTGTAAGTGGTATCGATTTTATGTTTTGGGGGAAAGAGACTCTAAAATGGAAAATTCCTAAGCCAGCTTCCTCCCCTTCCCATGCCCTTCAGGTTCCCTGAAGTCCAAGAGAACGACCTTCGAAACCCTCTGTCTGCTACCCCTGACCTTCATCCCATCAGATCTCATGAGAGCAAGAATCTTTCTAGGGAGAGGAGGAGTCCTATGGGGGTTTCCTTGCAGGCCTGGGCAGGCAGAGGAGCAAAGGTGCATTGACCCAGTGGGCAGCTCTGAGAATGGGAGGGTGGCTTGCCTTCCTGCCCCCCAAG